GCAACCGAGTAGGGAAAGGGAGTTTAGGGACATACTCCTTCACTACTGGTTGCGGTTTAGGTGCAGGCACCTCAACCTCCTTCTCAACTTCTTGTTCAACCGCTGGAGATGCTGCAACAGGGCTTTCTCTCTCCGGTTCCCGAGCAGGGGGATCGACAGTCAGCTTGCCACTCCTGGTCATGATGGCATTGCACCGCTCATCCGGGGTCTGCGGGTGAGGGATGGTCTGCGCTGGTAGAGTACCAGGCGCCCTTTGAGCCACTGCTTGGGCCACACTCCCCAGCTGGGTCTGGATATCCTGCAAAACAGCCTGTGTGTTCCTCTGGCCAGCTTCAAGAGCCAGGAGTTTCCCCGAGGCCTTCTCCATGAACTGCTCAAAGGTGTTGAACTTCTGAGCACTGGTACTGGCGAGAGAACCCACCAAGTCCCGCAGGTCAGCCATCTGATCATTCTGCACTGGGGCAGCAAGGGCTGCACCTGGCTGCTGAAAAGGCCGCGGCTGTGATTGAGCAGCATGCCCCTGCATGGGGTGATAGAGAGACTGTTGTTGCTGCTGGAATTGCCCCTGTCTGGGCTGATATGGTGGCCGCTGGAAGCCTGGTGGTCCCTGGGGAGCTGGTGGTTTGGGATTTGGCCCAGCCCAGGAGAAGTTAGGATGCTGGCGCCACCCATCATTGTACGTGTTGCTGTAGGGGTCATTGCGCCTGACATTGTTGATGAAGTTCACCTGCTCCTGGGGTGTGGTCGATTCCTTCATCGCCTGGCAGTCTTCCACCATATGATGGGTGCTCTCGCACCACTGGCAGAGCATCGCCTGCTGCTGTCCGGTCCCTGGAATCATCCCAGAACGATCGATAGCTGAGACCAGCTTCGATACCACCTGCACCAAATCAGATGACTGGGTGCCCACAGCATGCACACCCCGTCCAGGTGCTCGTCGCGATCTCCTGGCAGTGCCCCAGACATAACCGTTCTCCGCCATCTCCTCAAAGAGTTGATTCAGCTGTGGCGGGGTTTTGGTCAGCATGTTCCCGCCACAAACCGAATCGATCAGCTGCTTGTCCTCCGGGAAGAGGGCGTGATAGAAGGTGCCCACCTTGAACGCATCATTGAAACCATGATTGGGACACCTGAGAAAAAGGCTGGTGTACCTCTCCCAAGCATCCCTAATGGTCTCATCCTCATCCTGAGAGAAATGTGTAATCTGCTTCTGGAGATCAGCTGTCTTGGATGGAGGATGGTAGCGGGTGAGGAACTTGTCCGCCAGGTTGGCGAACATGGTGATGGAGCCCGGAGGTCGAGTGTCTAGCCACTCCTTGGCCTGCCCCTCCAGGGTGAACGGGAAGTACCTCAGCTGGATGGCATCTGCTGGTACCCAATTGATCTTGATTCCATCGATGAGCTCGTGGAATCGCCTGAGATGTGATCGAGGGCACTCTCCCTCCTTACCACGGAACACTACTGAACCGCGCAGCATGGTGATCACGGAGGTGCTCACCTCAAAGTTGTTGGCTGGGACCTGAGGGTGTTGAATGGGTGACCTCATGTCCGCAGCCCTAGCGGTCCAGTAGGATCCCATGGTCTGCTCCCCAGGGATCACATCGTTGTTCTGCGGATCACCCATCTCGCCTTCTTCTTCTTCTTCTCCTAACTGCAGCTGTGTTAGCGCCTCCTCCGCAGTCAGGCGCGCCTTTAGAGCCCGCTTGAAGTTCCTGCAAGTTCGTTCAAGCTCCTGGTCTAATGGTAGTAGATCTCCCGACTGGCTACGAGTCATGCACTACCTGCACACAATCAGCAGAAGCAACCCGTGAAGGCACACAGGAGGAAGAAATAAAATGCAGTAAATAAAAGCTAGAGTAACAAATTCTCACGTTTCCCCAATAACCTAGAGGGTTCCCCGGCAACGGCGCCAAAAACTTGACACGCTAAAACACAACACCTAACAATGGCCAAGTGTAACCAATGAAAGGTACTACAGTATAGGCAAGTTTAATTATCAACCCGGGGTCTAGATCTACTGCTTACTCCGTGATTCTCTATTATCTAGCAAACTAGTTCGAGTGATTGTTGTGAAAAGTAAAAGCAACAAGAAAGCAGTAAATTGTTCGGGTTTCTAAAGCAGGCAAGAGTCACTCGGGATTGAGTCCCCCTAGCCCTTTAGTTAGGTTCAATTGCAATTCCCTGGGTTGATTTACTGTTGATTAGACTGCGGAAGATCCGACAGTAGCTTGGAATCTCTTAAGCTGACCAAGCCCTCTCAGTCTAACTACCCGGCAGACGACTAGTCTTCACCAGGATAGAAAGCTGAGGCTATGAACACAGAACTCCACTACTGGCGCCAAGAACACCAGTACAAAGCAGTAAACTGGCTAACTCTCGTATAGCCAACCTCCTACTATCGAATGAAGAGGCTCTAACAACCTAATCAGATTCTATCTATCTCAGGTTGAAGCAGAAATTGAGAAAAGCTGATCAGACTCAAATCAATTCATTAAACATGCGTCATTCAATTAAAATCAAACAGTAATATCATCCCAAGTCATTACAATCAAATCCCTAACACAAGGAACTAGGGTTCTTCATACCCAAGTGAGAGAAGGGTTCTACTCCATAGAGAGAGAAGAGAAAACAAGAATGGGATTAGTCATACTCATAACGATGAGGATAATCTGCTCCGGGACGATGATTTCCACTCCTATGACGATCTCCAAGCTCGATCCGATGAAATCCAGCTCTAAGACAGCTTCTAGGATGTGTTCTTCGCACTTTCTCTCTCTAGGGCTCTGTTTTTGCTCTGAAAACACGATTCTCCCCTTTTTGGCTCTGATTAGGCTTTAAAACCGGGTTTCCCCGACTTGCACGGCCAGGGTGCACGGCCGTGCACATCACCATTCTGGCCGTGCACCCTGAAACGCAGCGTATAATTTAGTGTGCCTTCGTCCATCTCGCACGGCCAGGTGCACGGCCATGCAGGGGTCCCGGCCAGCCCGTGCTCGGCCTCGGCCAAAACTGCACGGCCATATGGCTCAGGTGCACGGCCGTGCAGCTCTTCAGGGGTGCCCGTGCACGTCCTCGGCATAAGGCGCACGGCCAAAGTTGCACTTTGCACGGCCGTGCAGCCTCCCTGGTCTGCCCGTGCAGCTCCCAAAAACCTCGCCACTCGTCCGTTCTTCGTCCAATCGACCCCAGACTCGCTCCTAAGCCTTCATTCACGTACTAGGACCTGAAATATCACAAACAAGCACAACCTAGCGTGAAATCGGCTTAAAACACGAGAATCAACACCTCAAACGGTGTAAGAACGGGGGTAAAAACATGTGTAAATGACGGTCTATCAGCTACCCTTGCCTAACAAATGTAGCTATTTATAATAGTCTATCTACACACGTCATCACGCCAGTAGCTCGGGTTGTTACAAACCCTCCCTCTTCAGAGACAGCTTGTCCTCAAGCTGTGTTCAAGATGGAAAAGTGGGGTACTGCACCTTAGATCAAGCACCCGAAAGTAGTAGCATTAAGAGGAGATAATGACAATTGACAACATGTCTCAAATCTGCAGATGCCCAGAGTAGTGAACCACAACAAAGACCATTGCTTGCCAATTATGGATATGCCATAAAACAAGAATTCTCTCCAAATTGCTAACAAGTACAAGTAGCTGCATCACCACGCACACCAGCAAAGCAACACAACCACATGAATCTGATTAGCTATGATTTCTTCATCAACTAGAGATGGTGTGAATCCGGATCCAGATTTTGCCGGCAGCTTGAGGGCAACCAGATTTTCAAACAGTGCAAGAATGGCATCCTCAGTCTGGCAAACTGCTGTTGCCTCCATTATCCAGACACAATGACACTCACCCTGGCCAGATTCTGTCGTCAGGCTCCTAGTCAAACCCAGAAGCTGCTTGAACACCAATTCTTCGTGAAGCCAAGCTGTGTAGGGTCCTTCCAAGCTATGAACAAGGCCTCTTCATTTACAAACCCAAGAGTAACACGGACAGATTACAACAGCAGAATTTGAGGCCGCCCTTGAGTTCACAGTGACAGTCCGAGGTTGAGACATACAAGCAATTGATCGATAATCACAATCTTTGTAAGGCCTTTGAAATCATCATGATTTCTACTTCCATGAAAATTCATAAAGATGCCATAGTAAGTTGGGAAACGTGAAACTCGGAACCCCAACTACCATTGTTGGACTCGCTAAGGCAACGAAAGAACCCAAGAACAAACTTAGTTGGACAAGGATCACCAAAAATGAAAGCATCCTCTATAGAAGTGAGAGTCTTATCAATGGCCACAGAGGAGATCGTTTTCTGGATAAAACTACTAGCAAAGGAATCAAACACGCCCCTCTTAATCCAAAGATTAGGGAGATTGAGAACCTCTATGAAAGAAGAGTTATATGTAAAATCTAGGGTGTGAACCCCTGAAGGAGAAGAGACTGTGGGTTTGGCAGTTTAAAAACCACCCGAAACTGCCGAAATGAAGGGCAACTGAGTAGCAGGCGTATCCAAAAAAATTCGAGCATGGATCTAGCCCCAGTAAAGGAAGGGAATACATCGGAAGTAAGGGGAAACACAAGGAAGAAGTTGCTGGAGTAAGAACCTGGGCGTCTCCCACAAACCCAGTTTGCTCGGAAATCAGCAAAGGGAGGGACGACATCTGCTGGAGCTGATTGCATGCAGCGATGACATTCATCTGCACTTGACTCCCAAACTGAAGAAGCAACCTATCGACAAAATTACCCCAAAGCAAAGGAAAACGACGGAAATACCAGCCTTCAAACCATGTGTGAGCTCGTACTTCCAGATAGTAAGAAATCAAATCGCCCTTCTCATCTTCCAGAATTGAGGAAAGCAGGAAGAGTTCGTTACATTTGCTCACCCACACCTGAGGATCCGAGCCAGAGAAATAGGGAACTCGAGACGATAATAGAGATCGACAATTGATGGTCGACACAGTGGCAGACAGAACTGTTGTCGATCAGCGAACTGGTTGGGAGTCGCGTGCCATGGAAAATGAACCATCAAATTGTCCCGTCGTTGCTCCAACAAAGCAGTAAGAGCGTCGATGGAGGCCTTCGTCGAAGCCGCAAGAGCAGCAATGGTGGTCTTCAGATCCCGGTGTCGTGAATCCATCTGCTGATTGATGAACGCCAATTTAGTTTCCAAAACAAGGATTCATGTGGTGTTGGTCGCCATTGCCAGATTACAGGTCTCTGGTACCACTTGTAAGGATCATTATTGGATTAATCTGGCGAAGGAATGGAAGAATGAAGAAGATACAGAGAGGAAGAAGAATGGAGGAAAAGCTAGTTGTTCTATTGAGCTAAAGCTATGCGTAAAAGAGGGGAAAGTGCTAACATAATTAAAATTGGTCAAAAGCTACCCCTCGACTAACAGCTGTAGCTATTTATACTTGTCTATTTGCATACATCATCACGCCAGCATCTCGGGTTGTTACATTGACCGTCATCGGTAACGTCGTCGCCAAACCCTAAATGCGACAAAGAACGCAACAAAGCATAAAGCGGGTAAAACCCTTAGAACGGCCACTGCCGATGGATGAAATCAATCATGAAAGATTACCTGACACTATTGAGACGGCGCCACCACGTCAGAGAAAAAAAAACACAACAGGGAAACTGGGAAAGCCTGGACATCCGGCTTAGGTACGACGAGACGACTTTTCCGTGAAGTCCTGAGAACAGATGAATGGTATATGCGAACTCTGATTCGAAAGATGTTGCAGAAGCTATGAGACAAGACGATGGGATGATGGGCCGGAGGCTGCGGAGGAGGACCCTATTTGTCCGCCGATACACTTCACTACAGCCGAGGAGAGAAGATTCTGTAGAGAATATAGATTCGCGTTGGTGGTGAAGGTGCTTGGCAAGTCCGCCTCCTACACTGGCGTCTCCAATAAGTTGAATTCCATATGGGCAAAGGCGGGTGGTATTCAAGTGGCCTCGGCTAAAAATGTATCCTACCTGGTATGCTTTACCAGCGGCGTTGATTATGAGTGGGCAGTAATGGGAGGACGGTGGATGATGAGGGACAACTACCTTACCGTTCACATGTGGGACATACACTTCAACCCCTACCACCACGGATACTGTCAACATTGGTATGGGCTCGTCTCCTTGAGATTCCTGCCCACTACTTCCACCAGGATGCTGTAACGAAGATAGGGCAATGGATTGGCAAGCCAATTGAAGAAAGAAAACCCACTAACGGGCCAATCACTGTACAAGCAGAAACCTTTCACTGTGCATATAGACACATTTGACTGTTACAACTCGGATGATTATTAGGTGTGTGCGGGTGTTGGTGAACTCTGGTTGCCTTTGAATGGAATTGCATGTTTTCGGTTGGATCTCGAGGACCCTTTGGTTAGCCTTTCCTGGCGTTGGTCTTGCAGAAACTGAATGCATCATTTGTTTTTAGGTGGGTCTGTCAGATATAGGGAGAGCCGGAGAGGGTGAGTGGAGTGAGATTTTTCCCCCATAGTTCGAGGCCAAAAGACTCCTCATTGGTTGGCTTTGTTTGCTGTTGCCTCCGGATTCCACGTGGATTCAATTTACTTGGTGTAAGCAAGGCCACGTAGCCATCTTGGTTCTTGGATCTATCTCTTACATTTTGGTCCACATATCTCAGCTACCCGGCCCAGCCTCTCCATCAATCCAATGTCATCTACAGTATGATTTAATTTTATTTTTTTAGAACTTTGAAGCGAGCAAGACTCTTTTAATCTATCTCTTCTTTACATAATTTCATTACTTTTATCTTCTCGACATCTCACTTCCTTTCTCTCATTTATCTCTGATCCCTCTTCTTGCTATGCGTGGAGTTGGAAGCGATCAAGCGGCTGATCTTGCAGGCACAGAGAAGCTCCGAAATCGGAGTTTTTTCCAGAAATAGCACCTTTAAAAAAAAAAATTACAAAACTAGCACTCTTCCAAAACTAATTACAAAACTAGCACCTATTTTAATGAATCGCACCTTAGAGGTGCGATTTATAAATGAAACGCAGCCTTAGAATGCGTTTCCTTCATAAATCGCACCCCTAAGATGCGATTTCTATGGTAAAACGCATCCCCAAGATGCGTTCAAAGTTTGGTCGCCAGCGACCTTCTGGATCGCACGATTAAGATGCGATCTGACGGGCTGCAGCATAGCCACGTCAGCAATCCGCGCGACTGAGTGTGGATCGCACTTGTGAGGTGCGATTTCTCGCCTGGAGAATTGGAGCGTCAGTTTTCTGCGCGTTCAACGCATCGGGACGCGGGGATCGCATCTGGGGAATGCGATTTGGCGTGGGTATCGCACCGGGGAGATGCGATTTCTACGGGGTAAAATTACCCTACCGCCCCCGAGGGGTGCGATCTGTTGGGTATAAATACCCCCCCTCCCCCTCTCATTTCTTCACTCCACACAACCCATTCTCCTTCTCTCTCTAGATATAATCTCTCTAAACCCTCCCCTCCCAAAAGCCTAGGAAATAAAAGTCTGTTGGTTGCGGCTAAGTCCGATCTGCCATCAGAAAATATTTCTTAGGTTTTTTCCTCAAAAACCCGTCGATCTTGGTACTGAAAATAGGAATGAGGATCATGGTAACTTTGGTAGGGATGATCGTCATATAATTCACCTCCACCATGGATACCAGATGTTTGACCGTGTCCAGAATGACCTCCAACACTAACGGCTGGCTCGGTGTAAACGAACATCTCGGCTTTGGCCAAATTGTTGGACCTCAAGAATTCGAGCATGGAATCTACGTCATCTTGAGTGGTTATGGTATATTCCTCATGCCACAATGACCCAGTTGCTCTGTTTGGGTATCGGTACACCATACGATCTACCCTCCTCGTGCCATCCATGCAAGTAACGTCAGTGCATATTCGATGGAGGTCTTCAAGCTTCGGTCTGGTACCGACCGTTACTTTCTGAAAATTGCCACCGACGTAGGTGGCCCCCTTTCCGGTGTCTTCCGTGTAACCATTCCACCGTAAGCCAAGCAACAACTGACGGAATGCCATCTGCACACAAACAAACCATAGTTTTAGTTAATATCATAAAAATCACAAATCACAAATAACAATAAAAAGTAACACAAAATAAACTTACGAGTTAATGTTAATGCAATAAAAAGTAACACAAATTAAAGTTACGAGTTAATGTTAATGGCATAAAAAGTCACACAAAATAAAGTTACGAGTTAATGTTAATGGCATAAAAAGTAACACAAAATAAACTTACGAGTTAATCTTAATGGCAAACACACTAAATAAATATAGATATACAACAGAAAAATGAAAGAGAATGCGAGGGAGAATGAGAGGTGTGAAGAGTCTGTTTTCCGGCAAGTCTTATATAGGGGAAAAAATTGTGAAAACCGCACCTCTAGGGTGCGGTTTTAGTCTGCCATGCAACCCTACGTACATAATTCTCTGCATGGTGTCGGTAAATAATTGACACGTAAACCGCACCTGGGGGGTGCGATCTACCTGGTGAAATCGCACCTTGCGGATGCGGTTCATGTTTGGAGAAATAAATCGCATCACCAAGGTGCGGTTTAGGTAGGTCAGGCCTAAACCGCACCTCGGCCATGCGTTTCAAGTAGCTCAGACATGAAAACGCATGGGCAAGGTGCGATTTAGGCCCACCAAATTAGATCGCACTCTCAAGGTGCGATTTATGTGTAAAACGCACCTGGGGGATGCGGTTTATGTGTAAATCGCACGTGGAGGGTGCGGTCAATATAAAAGGGTGCTAGTTTTGTAAATATTTTTGACAGGGTGCTAGTTTTGTAATTTTTTTTTTTAAAGGTGCTATTATTGGAAAAATCTCCCGAAATCGTCAGTTATGTCTATGATTTCAGGTGATTTTTCCTTCTCTTTTTTGAATGTTTGATTTTCTGTTTTGGAGTTCCATTTAATCATCGGGATGTTGATTTTTTGTTAGGGTTGGACCCGAAGATTGCATCAGATTCAATGCGCTGCATCATTGGTCTGATACAAGCTTCTTTGTGGTTCTGATTTTAGGTTTTCATTTTGAGTCATCTGTGTATTTTCTTTGGTTCCTAAATGGGGTTTTATATTGTTCTAATTTTGGTTCTTTTCTTCTCCATGAGTTTATTCAGACTCTTTCCAGGCGGTGGTGGACTCTTGGATTCTACCCAGATTCCGCTCGACGGGGTATGGTGGGAACCTGGTGGATCTATTGTTGTTCAGGACGTTGATGGGTAACAAAAAAAAGTCGAGTGATGGGTCCAATGCCCTTCCTATCCTTTTGGTGCTTTTAAAATTCACTTGATAGTTTGATGATGATGAAGCTTTTGATTATTTCAGAACTGACTCGGTCGCAAATGACTTCCTGTTCGGCTCTGCTGAAGGCTGGTGGATATTGGTCGACTTCATGATCTATAGTTACGGCTGCGATGTGAAACTGCGATGTGAAAAGATATAGGGAAATATAGTCATTTATATGATTCACAGTCTGGTGGGATGCTTACATTTTCCTGTTTTTGTTTTTCAGCAGGCGGCCTCTTGGGTCGTCGATGAGAAGAGTGATACTACTTCGGGTACAATTAGTTTGAGCGTTCCTCTGAATGAGAAGAGTTATACTACTTCGGCCTCCTGGATGCTAATTTGTTATACCCTTCCCGATCTAAGTATGAGAATGTTTGGAGCTTGGTAGTTGGAATATTCAAACTGCTCATAGCGAGATCACCGAGCAACCGAATCGTCGACTCTATAAGTTGTTATGTATTTGTGTAGCTTCATTTTTCCAACTGTTAATCGTCTGCTTTACCTGATTTTTTGGTGATGTAGTTTGTTTTAGTGTGGTTTCTCCTTTGACAAAAGTGAAAGTCGAGAAGCTTCATGATGCAGCAACAAATATTTCAGGGATGATTCCTAGACTTCTATTCCATTTTCAATTGAGGATTCAGGCAACAATTTCTGGAACGCCACGGGTGCTGCCTTAGCATAGTTTTCTTATTTGCAGCCATACTCTAATATTCCTTTGTATATTCGTTTCTGTTACTCTCTGCAGATGATGTGAATGTCTCATAATGTGCATTGTTGACAAGGAAAGTTTATTTTGTGTTCTCATGTTAATTTAACTGTTATATATAAACTTCATATATGGGTTAAGAAAATTATGTACAAATTTAATCATAAGTTACAATATCTGAATGAGTTATAAACTTATAATTTGTTAGATCAAGTCCCGCAGCGGAGCGCGGGCAATGAAACTAGTTGGTATATAAAAGCCACAGTTTGGGTACTGTTCATTAGTGGCCCCCACGTTCGCCTTCTGCGACTGGTTGAGGTCCAAACGTTTGGGCTTCGTTGGCCCACGTGGCGTGCTTCTCCTCTCACACAGATGTAAATCGATCTCTTTTACCCCACTCGCTACCAAGAATACTCTGGTTTTTTTCTGTACCCAACGGATAATCCCCCACACTTCTCACCTCTGCACTACCCTATACTTTATATCCTCTTCATACGCAACCTTCTCTTCCTCTCTCCTCAGCTGCTTTTCATAACTCCTGCACAGATCACCCTCTCAACAAGCATTTTGGTTGGATCCCAATCTTTCTTCCACCCTTCAATCTCATGTTTCTTACACTCTTTATGGCGGAATCCCAGGTCCCGAGCTCTCCCTCTCTCCGCCGTTGCAGAAGAATTAAAAGAGAGGAATCGTTTGAGAAGAGGAAGACGATGGAGAGGCATCGGTTGTCATTCTGTTTTGGCCGCGATGGGCTACGCGACGATGAGAAAGGGGAGATCGGTCGGAGAGATTCGGCCGATCAGCGGGGATGATAGAGAAGGCCGATACATCACATAGGGTCCAGAGAGAGGAGACAGGTAAAGGTACATGTGGTTCAGTTGGGTTCCTCGGTTAAGAATCAATTTCGGAGGAGGGATAGTTACGAGATCCAAATCTTTATTGCCATTTTTTAATTGCCGGTGGAATTGGTTTTGGCTAGGTGTTCGGCGACGAGGGATGAAGCGGATATTTTCTCCATGGAATTGATGAGAGATGAGCCATCGTTTTTACCGTGCCTGGAATTTGTTTTCGCTAGGTGTTTGGTGGCGAGGACCGGACCATTTCTTCATGGAATGGAAAAGCGATAAGGAAGAGATCGTCGCCGTCCGGATACAGGTTCTTTAATCACTCTTCTTTTCATTAAGTTAAGTTCTTCGAATCTTTAATTGCTTGCTCTGTTTTCCTTTGATATGTGAGTGGCGGGGAAAATGCAGAAGAGGCGGAGGCGAGAGCTGGGGGGAAATCCAGAAGAGGCCTCAACCTTGACTTACTTTCAAGCTAAAGTAAGTATTACCCATCGCATACTCTAGGGATTTGTTGGTAGGTTTGCTGTTAAAAACTAAGGGATTTTAGATTTGTTTGCCAATAAGTATTTTTTATAGGAACTTTGCCAAGGGAAAAATTGACAAAACACTTGATTGGTTGCCTTTTCTTGCAGATTACCGGTTGTCAAAGCATGTTCTTCTTTACATTTATTGTATGATCCAATCTCTTTGCATCTATTGCAAACAACAAGTGTTTCTTCCTGCTGTAACTTAAAACATCTATTCTTTTCTTCAATTACGTGTTGCGTACTTCCTATCAAAGCTCCCACTTTCTTGCTTTTGATTTGGAATGATTGGTGAGAAAAACGGAGTTGTCCCTAAGCACATCCAATCTCAGTAATGGCAACAAGGAGTTGAGCAACTGATCATGTGTCAAGAGCCATAAATGGTGATGATCTCAACTGAAAGTGTTATTTCTTTTCAATTGATTCTCCTGTTATGCGATACTTGATAAATTTACAAGGGACTTCTCCATTAATGTCATGATAGCTTGCTGCAAATGGTTCCAAGTAGCTAGGAATGTTGAATTTTATGAGTTTCGCCTTTCAGACTAAATGTGTGTACACTGAAAGTGATCCTCTTTTCTTCTTTACCACGTACAGCTTTTGTTACGCTTTTCATAAGGTTATAAACTTTCATGCTTTGATTTTAGTTTCGCCAAATATGATTGCGAAGGTGTATGAATTGCTTTTAGGTTCCATTTGTGGTGGAGTGATTTGGGTGGTTGCAGTATTCTTTATGTTGTCTTAGACCTCTTTATTTTGCATGATCATTTGAGCGTGAGTTTAGCCTTGACGTTATATACTGATTGGGTGTTTCGCAGATGAAGGAAGGGAGCTGAAGAAGATGCTTGAGTACTGAAGGGTTGACACCCCGTAATTTAATTAAAGAAGGATGCTATTTGTATTATTAATTATGGTGCAGTATATTGATTAATATTTTTTGGTATGGGAGTAGGAGACAAAATCTTCTCACTTAAACTATTAGAGCATAATCCTGACTCTGAAGTGGTCCCAAGGACTTTCAGAACAGGCTATGAGGTTTTATTTAAGTTGTGCTGGTGTGGGACGAGGGAGAAGGGGAGAAAGGTGCAATGCTAAATGGGGATTAGCAGTTTTAAGATGAGTTTGGCCTTGATCACCGTCTTTCATGGTATGCAGTGAGTTCAGTTATGTTATTTTGTTTATTTCTTTCCATCTTCAGTTTGCTTCCCATGTTAAATACTACAATCTAATTTTTTTCCCTTTCTTTTTTAACAGCTACATAATCGTCGGTGAGAACATTGTTGTGATCCCAGCAAAGAACCCTGTTATGAGAGAAGATTCCACCCCTGCAACCCAGCAAAGAATCCTACTTAAGGGACCATCTATCGAAGCGGTTTTGTTTGTGTTTGAGCTTTATACAGAATTTATTTAAGCAACATAGACAAGAATAATAACTCCATCACATGATTTTGATTTACCAATTGATATCATCGCTTTTGTTTCATAATCATAAAAGCCCATAGGTGTATTTGAACTTCCTTTTGCAAAGACTTAAAGATGGTTGTTATTTTCCTTTCAAGCTCATTCCTTTCACGGCACTGTTATTGTTTTATCCTTTCTTGCAGAGTAACTGTACTAACGAGGACAGGGAGGTAACTTCACAAGTTGGGATGCTTTTCCATACTAAAATGTAAAGGTCAGTGGTTTGTCCTTCTTCCTCCTCTTGGGTTCTCTGCACAATTCATACCGGTTCTTTGGAGCTAGATATTGAAGTGTGCTTAGCTGAGACCAGATTTATGCTTATATAAGCATGTTAGTCCTTAATTCTTAAACATGTAAAGCATGTGACTCCTGGGAAGTCCACAGTTTAATGATCATACAAGATATGACATGGTTTCTTAGTTTGTCCTTATATAAAGTTGCTCTCTTATTATGTCCATTGTAGTTTTTCACCACCCTTGAACGTATACTTGATGTGCTTTGTTTCTCACCTGGATATGACAAACTTTGATGATAGGATGGCAGGTGCATCATATGCCCACTCTTATTTTGTATTTCAAATAACTAAGCATCATTTTATCACCACAAAGTTAATGATACTTTGCTACTCAAATGGACACTGTAAGCATGTTTGCCTTTTGATTCAGGGTTGTTTGGCAACATAATGGTGGGCATGATTAACATATTAGATTGATAAAACCAAGTGCCCCGCTTGTGTTTTGCACTGTATACCGAGTTCCTTTAACATTAATAGTGTAGCTGTGTTGAGTCTTTTAGACACGTGCTGTCATTGGCCTTGATTAACAACTAAAAAAGACACTTTGCCTCGCTCAAGTCTAAAGGACATCAGCAATATGTTGCTATTAATATTTTAGGTTTGCGCACATTTCTGAATTAATGAATTAGGGCTTTCAGTAGGGTTCGGTGCTAATGCTTCGTCGTTGGTTTCAGTTTCAAAGTAAGGGGACTTTGTTGTGCGAGATTGGTTGGAAGGAACGCATATGAAGTTTCAATGTGGTTACAGCTACGTAGATGGATGATTCACTGTTGGGAAAAAGGCAGAGCATGGTAGGATCGATCGGTTCATGTACAGTTGATCATTCAACTCATTTACGGCTCTGAAGAAACCAAAATAATAGGTGGCAAACTCTTCCTCTTACTCTTCTCCATCTCGAGTGGTGCATTGTCTGTTGGGCTTCATTTTGCTGCTTTGATAGGTAGATAACAAGATAGAAACGACTTTTATTTGTAGAGTTTGTTCAAATGGCCAAAACGGTTAAATGTCAACTTAGATCTGCTTCTACAATTCCTCATCTAAAATTTCATGACTTTGCTAGCATGACTGTTGTTTGTCTTTTAATGAAGAGCTGCAGCAAAATTGTTGCAGTATCGTTGTTCGTACATGTGAATGGCTTACTGACCTTTGTTACAAACTCATTAATTAATTATAGATTCAACCTCTTTGAATCTTTGTCCACCAATATTACGAGATCAAAATCATTGTCTTGCCCTGGTGTTGTCTCCATATATTTGTTTGTACATGTTAATCGCATACTGTATTTGATGTAACTAAGGTCTTGAACTTCCTTGCAACTTAGTGAAGCTTCAACCACAGGTAGGTGAAGATTCAATCCAGAGTCCACAACATCTGACCGCAAGGGTACCATATTTACCAGATACTACTAGCTGCAGTTGTCAAAGCCCGAAGCAAGCAAATTGATAGCTTTCATTAGAATTTATGGCGTGTAATTACCTGTAAGAAGATATTGCGCGGCAAGAACAGCTTATGTGAATGGAGTTTTGCCTTGCCGAATCATTTACTACATGTTCAGTTTACCTTTGTTGCACGATGTACTTCTAATAGCAGTTTAGTTTTCCTGTTAACGGTTCCGGTCTGTTGCATTCAATTAACCTTTTCATGCCTAACTCCTAAGGAATTACTCTTTCCAACCATTACATCCAAATATTGGAGCTATATATATATATATATATATACTTTTTTTTTCTTTCACAATCCATCTTCACACCTTCCTGCAGACCAGATGGTTTACCATTGTTCAATTTATTCTAATCGTATGTTGCGTGTATCTTATTATTATGTTTCTGTCTACACGCGAAGCGTAGCGAGCGGGCTATTTCTAGTTCGGATAAACAAAGCAAAGAGGACGGGAGCTGGATTATGCTAGGTTTGCGTCTAGGTGAATCTTACCAAGCCTCTCTTGTCCTAGTTCTAAATTCTTGGAGTCAAATACTTTATTTGTAATATCCCGACCTTCAGGTCAAGATTCAACCGAATATCAACATGTGGGTTTGTAAAATGATTACTTAGGAGAACTCAAAACCAAAAAGGTGGACCCAAGTACGTGGAACACGATCGACACAATTGGAACGAAGACAAATCATGACATGCCGAACAAGACCTTATGATGTCCTCAAAGCAAGCAGCCGTACCGTTAATTATCGGTTTGACAAAACCGCTACAACCGCTTATACGGTCAATCCAAACCGTACCGTTAATTATCGGTTTTGTATGCAGACTAACCATTTAGTTGTTAGTGGTTCGCGGTTCGGATTGACCGAAACCACACAGTTACGGTCAAAACCGCAAACCGCTAATTCTTACTACTGAAGGTCGTCCACCACACCATCCACCACCAACACTCGAGTAGCTTTGTAGAGATTCATCACCCTCGGCAGCGACGACGCCTACTTCCTCACCCAGTCACCCGCCAGATCCGAACCATTCCCTCGCTACCCGTTCTGCCGCCTTCGGCCTTCCCCATCTTTTGTTCCTCTTGACGTCGCACAACACCAAGATACGAGAGATCCCGAACTTCCTAGATCAAAGCCGACGACGCTTCCCTGACCGAACATCCAGATTCGCACCTCCGCCGGCCTCCGCATCCCGGCTCACACCGCCGTTCTGGTACTCTCTCCCTCCCTCTTCATATCCTTGATCGGTGTCTTTTGGATTCAATCTCGAATCAAGCGCATCTCAACCTTGCTCTCCCCGTTGTATTATCTCCTATACAAGCATACTGTAGGGCTGAGTGTTTCTTAAAATTATGTTCTTTTCCTTCCTGGTTTGGGTTTCGTTTGAATTGTGGTGGATGGATCATCCTTAGGTTAGATGGTAAAAAGCACACTAGCTGCTGATGTTCTTCTCCTAAGTTAAGTTGGGACAAATTAGTTTCCGGCATTATGATATGAGAGTGGCCAAAAGATGTGTCTATGTAGTGTAGTTGCCCGAAGTATAAACCTACTTTAAGTCCAATGATATAGCAGGCTTTCGTTGAGGGGACTGTGTAATGAAAAAGTGTGGGATCTATTCATGAACCCGTCCTAACTATTTGAGCTATTTACATTATTTAATTCTTGAGAAAGCATGCTAGTACTCCTTTCAACCCAATGGTTTCATACCAGATCTTAATTTATATATGCTTGCTCTAACATATGACCCAAGGTCACTGTCCAGCAAAGTAACAGAATCATTAGTCTCATTGTTTTTGTTGTGACCTCATTGATTGTGCAACATATGCTCTGTTTTGGTGGCATAAAACAAAGCATCTGATATAGGTTTTGGTGGTCGCATCTGATTTCTTTTTGATTGTGTAACATATGCTCTGTTTTGGTGGCAGGAAATAGAGCAATGTGGAGGGATTGAATTGTTGCTCATGGCAAGATCGATAGGCTTGAAGGCTTTACCTGACTTTGGTCATGTCCTTTCACCGGTCTTTTCAGGAATCTACGAGTCAACCCCTGCTCTGCTTTTACTGATCTTTGTGTTTCTTTGCTCATCGATTTTGTTCGTTTAAGGCAGGGGTTCTGTTCCACGGGCATGT